AGCCCCCAAATAGTAAGTTTTATTGTTTGTTTTAACAAGGCATCAAAACTTCCAAAGGTTGGGTAATCAGATCCTTCATCAGACTTCTTGGAGGAAGGTAGGTATAGCAAAGCCCCAGATACTCGACTGAGGAAAGAACACCTGCCTGGACACTGGAGATGCCATCTGGTCAGCACTGTGACTAGGCCAACTCCTTCAGATGATACAGTTTCAAAGGGGAGCCTAATCTGATGTGACGTTGCACAACTGCCATTTCAGCATTTGGGGAGGCTGAGGCAGGAGTTGCACATTTGAAGTCATCTTGGTCTGTTGCGGAATATTGATTTAAGATGTGTTACATTTGTTTGATTAAATAAAATTAACCTGAGGTCAAGAGGCTGAGTCAGCAACTAGCTGACAGGAAGTGGTAGGGAGGAACCACCTACAGCTAGGGCCCTTAAGGGGGCGCAGAGCAGCCTGCTGCTTTGGGGAGAGAAGGTTAGCTACTTGCTATCCAGCCTCTCTGAGCTAGCAGTTTCTCCTCAACCTTTGAATCCTGAGTTCTTTAAAGGGATAGAGATTAGATAAAGTTCCCTTTAGTGAGTGTGATAGAGCCAGTGCCTGATGGAACAGGATTCCCACCTGGCCTCTCTCCACAGCAATTGCCAATTGGAACAGCAATTGCTTAAGGGGCAGCTACTGAATTTAATGAAAAACAGCACTGGTCTATAGCAAATCCTGTCAAAAAGAGCTAAGCATAGTTCTGTAGTTGGTGTTTTCTTTGGGCTGAAAACCAGCTCCCAAATAAAGATGTGGAGACTTATGAAAGCTTGGCCTTTAGCTTACGTTTGTCCCACTAGCTCTTATAACTAAATTTAACCTGTTTCTATTCATCTATATTTTGGATAGGGGCATTTTACCTTACCTTTCTTTCATTCTACATGTCCTGCTTTCCTGCTTCCTCCATGTCAGTTTGGCTAGTTGGCCCCTGCCATCTCCTTGGCATCTCTTTTTCTTTCTTTCTGTCTCTCTCAAGACTAGACTCCCCTTCCTATGTACTTTCTCTGCCCAGAAGTCCCACCTATACCTCTACCTAACTAATGACTGATTGGCTTTTTACTTGGCCAATCAGGTGCCTTAGGCAGGCAAGGTGGCCAAATAAAACACACCTTTACATAGTTGAACCCAATATTCCACAACATGGTTCCATGCCTGTAATTCCAGCACTCAGGAAGCCGAGGCAGGAGAACTGCAGTGAGTTTATGGCCAGTATTGGTTACAGATTGAGTTCCCTATGCCAAGGCTATATAAGACAACCATAAATATGGGGGGATACTGTTTTAGTCATTTTATTTTCAGAAATAAATTAGGGAACTTCATTAATTCACTACATTTACTGACCATCCATGTTATGTCATTCTCTGCCACATGCTAAAGGCACAAAATCAACACCTATTTGCTCTAAGTATGTTTATTTAAAAACCATATGTATAACAAAATATTTTAAATACTAAGGGTTTCCTGTATTTATTTTTGGTCTGACACTAAAACCTGTTACATCTCAGAGTAGAAATGAAGTAGTTTCTCTTGATTCATTGTTTGGCCTCCTTCTTTTGGTGCCAAAACTCAAACCTAGGGCCTTGAGCTTTCCAGATCAGTCCTCTCCCCCAAGCCCTGCTGCTTCTTCCACGACACCATATGTACACTCTTGAGAAGTGGTTATTCATGGCCACTTCACCCACTGGCTCCTCCTTCCCATACCTGCTGTTTCCAGGAGCCCTCCAAATGCTCCTGTCTCTTTAGGAATGGTCTCAGTCAGGACAGTTCTCCCTCAGTCTCTCTGCTCCGTTCTGGAGCACATGTCAAAGCAGAGGTCTCAATAAGATCTGCGAAGTTAGGCCAACTACAGCATGGCCTCTGGAATAACTGCCTGTGAAGGTCTCAGCTCTGAGGCTCGTCGACAGAGCACCATACTGCAGCCTGTTCCCAAACTGCTTTCCCTCTTTGCATTCTTTCCTGGCATCATCTTCCAAAAGTAGAGCTCAGACCCTATCATGCCTTTCGACTCTCGACTGATTTTGTTGAAAATGTCTTACATTAGTTTATAAACCCTCCCTGACCTGATCCCCTGCCAATCTTAGGGACTTCCATCTCATTCCACATCTCCCTGCCTCTGCACCCCACACCCCCACGCTGCCATTCCTTCAGTTCTATGACACGCTAACCACACTTCTGCTTTAGGGCTGGAGAAGTGGGCAGACAGACAGAGAAAACAGGCATTTCCTTAATCAGGCAAGCAAAAGGATGGAACAGAGGCTCATCTCAGTACAGGCATTCTAGTAGGAAAGGGAAAGAAGATGGAAGGACATTTAACAAATGATGGACAGGCTCCCAAGCAAAAACAAACGAAAGCAAAAATCCAAATGAAAACTCCTTCCTATAACGACAAGGGCAAGACCACAGTTTCATGCACCCAAGTGCTCTGAGTTGAGGAACCTGCTTGTATTAGTTACATATTCTCCCTGTCTCTCATTCTCTCTCTTGACAGGGTTTCGCTGTGGCTTTGGAGGCTGTCCTGGAACTAGCTCTTGTAGACCAGTCTGGTCTTGAACTCACAGAGATCCCACCTGCCTCTGCCTCTCAAGGGCTGGGATTATACGGAGCACCACCACTGCCTGGTTTAGTTACATTTTCTTTACTGTGATACAATATCAGACAGAAACAATAGCAGAAAGGTTACCTTGTCTCATGGTTTGATGATACAGTCTCTCCTGATGCAGAGAGTAAGGCAGCAGGAGTGCGAGGCAGCTAGTTAGTTACCTTGTGTCTACCATCAAAAGCAGAGAGCTAGATGATCACACTCAGCTTTCTCCTTTTCAGTTCAGGAAAAGTCTTCATTCAAAGTAAGTCTTACCTTAGCTAAACTTCTCTAGAAATGACCTCACAGACCAGCCCAGAGGCCAAGTGTTTCCAACTTTAAGCACAGTCAAGGTAACAATAAAGAGCAGTCACCACCCTGGTGGCCTTAGAGCATGAACTTCCCAAGTGGAAGGACAACGAACATTTGTAGCCCAACAGTGAACATAACAATGGTTCAAGATACAGTTATCACATGAACACTTTGCACAGGGAAAGATTTTTTTTTTTTTAAAAGTTAGGCATGGCTACCTATGCCTGTAATCTCAGAACTTTGAGAAGCAGAGGCAAAAGAATTACCACAAGTTAAGGACCAGTCTGATATACCTAGCAAGGTCTAAACCAGTAAGTGTACATAGTAAAGCCTCATCTCACATAGCAAAGACATAAAAATGAAGGAAAGTCATGACATCCAGGAGTTTAATGGAAACTGAACTCTGGATGGATAGTTTTGCACTCAGGATTAAGTTCTATGTGAGATATTTTTGATAAAATAGCAGAGAAGGAAAAATGTAAGGTTGGAATTTTAATGTTCCCTAGCCGCCTATAAAGTCTTGGTCCCCCCCCTACACACACATGTGGGGATGTGTTGGTAAGCAATAGAACATCTGAGGCAAGGGATCTTGTGGTAAGTCTTGAAGTCATTGGAGGGACTCAGGATAGACATTCAACATGTGAATGCTTCCAGTGCAAGGCATTTATTTACTTCTGTGGAGAAAGAGTTTCATGTAGCTCAGGCTCCCCCTGCTTCAACCTTCCTAGTGCTAGAATGACAAGCCTGAGCCCCCATGGTGGCTTTCCTTACATATATCCAGAAGGGCATTTTTCAGAGTCCCTAAATTATACCATAGGCTGTAAACTCAAATGTCACAAGGCTCATGTGGGTTGTAAAAGCAAAGAAAAACTAAATATGTCTAGTGTTTGGATCTGACTTCTGATCTAAAGCAGATATTCTTTATATTATCTTAAATCACTATTGCCAGGCTACAGTGAAGATCTGATCTTTCTCATTTATTCACAGACTGCCAATGACTCATTTCTTTCTTTTGACCCTAATTGTTAGCAAATATTTTGAAAAAAAAAAGTTAGAATAGCACATGAATCATCAGTTAGCAAGATCCACTTTCCTAGTGACTCTGGTGGTCTGTAGGAAGAGAGATAGCCAAGAGGGATGAGAACAGGGGGGATCCATCATTTCTGAATGTGCTAATTCTTTAACAGAGGATGAGGGAGAAAGGGAAAGGAACAAGGAAGAGAAGGAAGGATAGTTGTTAGGGAGGGATAAAGGACTGCCTTGGATAGAGGTCCCTAAGCAAATGATAGTTTATAAAGGTAAAGGGACATTTAATTTTTATTGGGCATGCTAATTAGGTGAGCCAAAGGGGGTTTTTGATTGCTGGACTTCAATACTTTGATATCTAGACCTTGGTAGTCAGTTTCAGGAGGAGGAAGTGGCCAAATAAGGGAATGGACCTTGGTGGCTAGCTTTAGGAATGTAATCTAATGGTTTTTAGCAAGGCAGAGGGAATGGGGGAGAAGGGCAAGGCCTGCCAGAGTAATCTTTTCCATGCTCTGGCTGCCTAGAGCCCCTTCAGGAGCCGGCTCTCAATTATTTCTCCCAGGGATGAAGTGGAGAGTCAGACAACGTGACTGATTAGCCTTTCTGAATCTCAGATTCACTTCTAAAACGGGGGTTAGGACATCTATCTCAAAGGATTACAGTGAGGTAATCCCAGCATTTAAGAAGCACTGGGAGGAGGGTCAGGAGTTCAAGGCCATCCCAGCAACATAACCAGTTCTAGAGCAGTCTCCGCCATACGAGACCCTGCCAAAAAGAAAACTAAGAAGACAGATACACAGACAACATCAACAAACCCAACGCCTCTAAAGAACTGCAATGCTTGGACACTAGCTATTTACAGAACTCCACTTGCAGGCTCAGAATCAGGGTGGCTGAACTGTCCACAGTTTTTCAAGCCACATTCAAGGTAGCCAATCCTAGACGTAGATCCGCGGCTAGGGTGAAAACAGGCTCCGCCTTCAGGTGTGCCCGAACGGCGGGGGGGGGGTTCTTCCCCCGGGGGGGTTAGCCACTTCTGGTGAAGACACGACACTGCCAATTCTTAAGAGGCCGTCGCAGAGGCAGAATTGGAGTGGCCAGAAACAATTTCTCTTTCCCGGAGCCTCCGGAGCCGTACCTGATGGCGAGTATGGTAGAACAGAGGCCAAGGCAGAGATGCTAGCCACGCTGAGGGACCCGGAAGGGGCGTGGCTTCCACTTCATAGAGGGCTCCGCCCCGACGCATTACTTCCGTAAACAAAGGGCACTGTTCAGGTGCGGGTGACTTGGGCTGGAGACCGGACTATTGCTGCAAAGGCTTTGGACTCTCTCTCTGCTTTTCCGGTTAAGAAAAGGAATCGTAGCCTCTTCTTCCTCTGGTATGTAGTGGGATGAGGGGGACCCTGCAACCTGCTCCTAGGGGCCCCTCAGCACCCGCTCTGGCCACTGCTGGGTATGATGGGTCATCGCTGATGTGGGTTGCGGAATGGAAATGAAGTGCAGTCCAGGGGCCCCTCCGGTGGTTCTGCTTAGAAGCAAGGCCTAACATTCAACCGTGAGCAGTTCGCCCTCTCTGGAATGGTCCCTGGCGCTTGCCATACCAAAAGAATTTCAGCGGTCTTGTGATAGATTGTTGTCCTCCAGAAATGAGTACATCTCAAGCTTGTTCCCTCAGAGACCATTGGTTCATTTGCGATGTCTTACGTGTTAACTGTTGGTTTTGTTTTTGTTTTATCTTTTGTCACCAAATATGTGTTAGCATCCTTAGATTTGAAGGTTTATGTGCTTATGAATTATACAGATCTCACCTCTTGGAGACCTGCTTTGTCATCTTCAAATTTCTGTTTAACCCGTATTACATGTTAAACAATTCCCAAATGACTCTAGTGGATTCATGATTGGTATCTGAAATTAGACACTGGACGTTGGACCCTTTCCCAAGGACGCCTTCCATTAGATAGAAAAGCATAAACGAAAAACAAACCCCTAACGTTGTCTTTGTAATTCCCAAGTGATTCTTTCAGGAGTGACAGTTTCAGTCTTTTAAAATAGTCGTGGCAGGCCGGGCGTTGGTGGCGCACACCTTTAATCCAGCACTCAGGAGGCAGAGGCAGGTGGATCTCTGTGAGTTCGAGACCAGCCTGGTCTACAAGAGCTAGTTCCAGGACAGCCTCCAAAGCCACAGAGAAACCCTGTCTCAAAAAAACAAAAAAAGTCGTGGCAGGATTAAATTCAACACTTTTAATTCTTAAATTTTATTGGCTGTGTATGAGTGTTTTGTCTGCATGCATGTCTGTGCACCGGATGCATACAGTGCCCCTGGAGGCCAGGAGAGGGCATGGACTACCTTGGAACTGAAGTTACAGACTGTTGAAAGCCACCTTGTTGGTCCTGGAAATCGAAGGAGCCCTCTGGAAGAGCAGCCAGTGGCTCCTAACTACTGAATTGTCTCTCAAGCCCCACAGTATTTTTTTTTAAGACCTGACATTCATAATGCAATTAACAATTTGAAGGAATGGATACATATGCGTATTTCTGGTGACTTTGTGATCCATTAATAATAGAATTCAGAAAAATTCAAAGCTAAACAGCTTTGAGCAGAGGGAGGAAGGAGCATCACCACAAGCTGAAATTGCACAGTAATTTCTCAACCAGCCAGGGACATACAGGAACCTTTTTTTCTCAAAAAGAAAAGGTGAGGTGGCTCACACTTTTGATGCCTTTAATCCCAGCACACAGGTGACAGGCAGGTGAATCTGTGGGAATTCCAAGCCAGCCGAGTCTCTAAAGTAAGTTTCCAGGCCAGCCAGAGCTACATAGTAACACCTTTAAAAATATATATGTATATGTATAAAGATAAGATCTGGGTGTGGTGGTGCATGGCATACCAATATAATGTACATTACATAAGCCTACAAGTTGCAGTTTAGACTGCTGATGCCCAGATATAGGTGTGGTGGTGCATAGCATACCAATATAATATACATTACATAAGTCTTCAAGTCGAAGTTTAGACTACCGATGCTGTGATATACATCTGTTTGAATTTGGTTTAGAAGGGAGATTGAAAGATCAGCTAAAGCTCCAGTGAGGCTGGGGTTTTGCATGGGTGGTTTGTTTATATTGGCTACCTTATGTAATGGTAGCTTCATTATTGCTTCCCCAGGATTGCTGACAGTGCCTGGTTTATGGAGGAGAATCAGTAGATACTTAGAAGATGTGTGAATAGAGAAAGTGCTAAAAAAATTATTAGACAATTTTGATGAAGACCTTCATTAGCAAAGTAGATTAAATATAAGGGATTCCTTGTCCTAACTTTAATGACTTGGAATTCTTACTCCAGATCTGTGGAATGTGTCTTTGACTCCTCTTTGCATATTATAGCATATAGCTGTAATCACTGTTATTTCCCTGTGTAGGTCTTATGAAGCTACTGTTGATGCAACGAAGAACCTAAAACAATGGAAGAGCGGAAAGCTAAGAGGAAGAGTCCCAAGTCTTTCAGTGCCCACTCTACTCAGGTTGCTAATGCCAAAAAAAATGCCATCCCAGCTAGTAAAAGCACGGGCTTTTCAAATCCTGCGGCACAGTCAACTTCCCAGCGGCCAAAGTTAAAGAGGTGAGTTCTTTTCTTTGACATTTCCCAGTGAAGTGCTGTTAAGTTATCTTCTCTGTCTAGTCTCTTTTCCTCCCATGCTTTGACTTTTCCCAGTGCCACAGCACCAATGATATAAAGATAGGGATCTTTGGGACTTGTTGCTGACGCAGTCTAGCCAATGTGGCAAGCTTTAGGTTTGATTAGAGAGTATCTCAAAAAATAAGGTGGAAAGCAACAAAGGAAGATACTTAACATCAACCTCTGGCCTCCACACATGCATGCACACACATGTACATACAACCATGTGCATGCATGCACCACATAAAACACACACACAAATACACACACACACACACATACACACACACACACATACACACACACACACACAATGCAGGACTTTCCTTGTAAAGAACTATACTGACAGATTATCAGCTATAAATTTATTTTCTCCTATTTGTTTTTGTTTTGTGTTGTATTTTTGAGGCAGTATCTCACTATGTTGCCTTGGCTGGCCTGGAACTTCAAGGTTGGCCTTGAACACATAGGGTTCTTCTTCCCTTCTTCCAGAGTGTTCAGATTCAAGATGTGTACCATCACTCCTAGTTCCATTTTTTTTAAAGTTTTCACTGTATTCCTGTGATTGTTTTGTCTTGGTGTCTATTTTTGCATGCCTGGTGCCTGTGGATGTCAGTTGGGAGGGTATTGGATCCCCTGGAACTGGATTAGACAGTTATGAGCTGCCACATGGATACTGGAATAGCAGCTAGTACTCTTAACCGTTGTGCTGTCTCTCCAACCTGAATTCTAAATTTCTTAAGAGTTGTTAGTTTCCCCAGCACTTGGGAGGCAGAGGCAGGTGCATCTCTGTGAGTTCGAGACCAGCCTGGTCTACAAGAGCTAGTTCCAGGGCAGCCTCCAAAGCCCCAGAGAAACCCTGTCTGAAAAAAAAAAGAGTTGTTAGTTTCTATCTTTACCCCACCCCATCCATGGGCTTACACTTCCAGACCCTCACACAAGGGTGTGTATACACACACACATGCCTGCTTTATCTTATCCTTGTGAGTATAGTTGTGGGGATGAGGTTGTGTGAAAATCGAGTACTGAGTCTCTGTATGTAGAGTACTGAATCCAGAATCTAAGTACTTGTTAAAGATAACGCCAACCCCTTTGGGTTTTTAACCTTTTCTGTTGTGGGTGACCCTGCTCAGACACCCCTTGTTGGTGTGAGTGAGAAGATGAAACACCAATGATTCAAGCAGTAGTAGCAGAGCATGTTGCAGACTGGTTTATTCAGGAAGTCAGGCCTGCCTTTATACCCCCTCCCAAGGTCCTATTGGCTCAGGTGGCTGACTCTGCTGCGTTTCCTTTCCTCATTGGTGTCTCTGTTAGCAGTCTCTGAGCATAGAGGCAGGCTTGGCACAGGGAGGAAGTGCCTGCTGTGCATGCTCATGCAGGCTGGCCTGGGCACCTGAGACTTGGGTAGGCTGGCTGCAGTTTCTCCTACATCTTACCTGGATAGCACCTTTTGAACCCTGGCTGACTGTGCCTCGTGAACTCCTGTTTCTCTGCTTTTATATAGGTGTGTGCATGGCCCCATTTCCCTAGTGTCTGCCAGGCTGCATCAAAGGGCTCCCAGATGTCTTTCTGGGGAAACAGCAGCTAGACTGAGGCTTGCAGGGTTTATGAGCCGTGGCCTGGCAAAAATGGCGGGAAGTGAAGGATCAGAATATAGGTCCATGAGTCAGATAAGAAGATGGCAAATGTGCTTCTAGGAGGCTAATATGATTTGGGTTGGTTGTTTTATTTGAAACAGGGTCTCATCAAGTGGCCCTCACTGTCCCTGGACTCATTATGTACATCAGGCTGGTGATCCACCTGCCTCTGCCTCATTCCTCTATATCGGGATTAAAGGTTTGAACAAGCACACCCAAGGAAAGTAGGGTTTCTTAAGGGTATTGGATTAAAGCAGACTCTTGAAGGCTTAAATTATGCCGCCTGGCATTATTTAGAAATGGACTTGTCTGCCTCATGGGAAGGAAAAGGGGGACCAGGGTGGGCCATCTGGGAAGCTGTGGGGAGCTGTTACATCAAGACACAGGATGGTGGTTGCAGCTAAGTAGAGTATAGAGAAGTTAGATTACATTACTCAGTTGAACTTTGAAACTGCATGAGGGGCCCTGAGGATGGTGGCAGGATTCAGGATGCTACCAGGTACTTGAGTCTGGATTTTAAATGTCTTTCTCCTAAGCCCAAGCACTCCTGACATGCTGTCTTCAGAGCAGGAACCCAAAAGACTCACCCAGCTATAAACAGTTCAGGGTTAACATTTAGAATACTGTGTGGTGTGTTTTACTGAGAAATGAAATACACAAAATAGCATACTGAAAAGATTTACTAGTTTTCTTTTCAGTCTAACAAATTATCATATTGCACAAACATACTAGCTAAACTTTTTACATTCTCAGTGGTTAAAATTTGTATATTTGGGATTTTTCACCATCTGCCTTTTTTTTTGTTGTTGGCTTGAAGCTTCAGGTTTTATTTAGTATTGATTATCTTTTGATTTCTAGTTTTCAAAAACATGCTCATTTATTTAACTGAGAAGTTGAACTGGAGCTTAATGTAGAACAACCTGGAAGATCTAACCAAGATCAATTGCATCTTCTCCTCAGAGTGATGAAGGAAAAGAACAAACCTCCAGGAGGAGAAGGGAAGGGTGCTCAGACCACCCCCATCCAGCATTCCTTCCTCACAGACGTCTCTGATGTCCAGGAGATGGAGCGAGGGCTCCTCAGTCTGCTCAATGATTTCCATTCTGGAAAGCTGCAGGCGTTTGGTAAGATGGCAGTGTGCTGTTCATGCTTTGTCTTTAGGAGGCCTCCATCCTGTGTTCTGCAATGTCTCATTCTTCTTTTGTTTAGTGTATTTTTGTGTGTGCATGTGAAAGCCAGAGGCCTTGGGTGTCATTCCTCAGCACTGCCCACCTACCACCCACCTTGTTGCATGATGGTCTCTCAAAGAACCATTTTCTTTTATTAGAGAGCAAAGGAACACTGGACATGGTGACTCATGCCTGTAATCTCAGTATCTAAGCATCAGGGGCAGGAGGCGGAGAGGTCCAGGGTCATCCTCAATGACGTATGGAGTTTGAAGCCATTCTGAGCTACCTGAAACTGTGCCTCAGAACAAGCATACACAGAGAGGGCTGGATATGTGGCTTTTGTTGGTATTTGGTAGATTGCCTAGTGCTAACGAAGTCCTTGGGTTGACACCCAGCACTACATAAAGTCCTACATGGTAGACACACCTCTAATCCTACTACTCGGGAAATAGAGACAGGAGAATCAGACAGTTCGGAGACATCCTCAGCTACATAGTGATTTTAGAGGCAACCTGGGCTACATGAGACCTGCCTCAAAAACAAACAAAAACATACACTGAGTATTGGGAGAAGAAAAGGGGACACAAAATATATAGATATAAAATTTAAGAATTTTAGATTTTATTGTCATGGACTATAATTTGCTTTCTAAAATTATTGGGGGGATTTTTAGAGAGTTTTTGGGGCCAGAGAGATGGCTTAGTGGGTAAGACAGTTAGCTGCCCAGCCATGAGGACTTGAGTTTGTACCCCAACAACTGTGTAAAAAGTTGGGTATGGGCACAGGCAGGCCTGGAACTCCAGAGATATGAGAAGCAGACTTTTGGGGCTTGCTGTTTGTCAGCCTTGGTCCAAGTTCACTGAAAGACCCTATCTTAAGGAATAAGGCAGAGTGATGGGACAGGACAACTGACATCCTCCCCTGGCCTCTGCATATGTCAGCATGCACAGTTGCATTCCTACAGACTATATAACACCACACTCATATACACACACAGGGAGGCTTAGCCGAAATATTAATGTAGGATTGCTATTATGGAATAACCAGTGTTTATTTAACTTAGGTTCTCTGTCCCTATGTATGATCTTGCATGCCCCTTCTTTCTTTAGAAGGCAACCCGATCCATATCTGAAAAACAAAGCCATATCATATAATTTATCTATAATTTAAATAATAGGGGAAGTCTTTTTCAGTTAAACCAATTTAGATTTGGTGTGTTCAGTTGAACTCTGTCTAATCTTTGTGATGGCATTCTGCCAACTGAGTTAACATTCTCTACCTGTTTGGTTATTTTTATGGCGGGGTCTCATGGATTGTAGGCTAGGCTTGAATTCATTATTGTAGCAGAGGCTGCTCTTTAATTCTTGATCCTCCTGTCTCCAAATTCCAAGTGCTGAAACAGAGAAATGAGTAACCATACCCAGATCTAATTTTACTTGTAATAGAAGTAACTTGAATACTTTCCTGTTCTGGCCAGCCAGCCTCGAGGGCTGATTGTGAGAATCAATCCACATAGGCACCAATTGAAGGCAGGATTTAACAAATGAGTTTACCAGACCCAAGATAAAGCACCTATTTATAGGGAAAGACTTACACAGATAAGAGTAAATAACCACCTCGGCCTTTCTGCTCCAGAAGATGCAGTCTCTGCTCTTCTGATGCTCTCCGAAACCCAAGAGAGTGCATGCTTGCAGTTCCTCTACCTTAAAAGAGGCACCTGAAACCGTGCCTAAAGGGTGTGGCCACAACTACAAGTTCACTGACAAGGCAAGATGCCACTACACTTTACAAAACAAAAACAAACATAAAACAACAATAACAAAAAATACTAAAACTAAACAAAACTTACGGTTTCTTGTTTTGTTGGTGATTTATGAAAGAACCTTTTTCTTTGGGTTTCCAACAGCAGTGGACACTTACCTTTCAATTTTTGCCAGTCAAGTGAATTTTTATTTGTTTGTTTGTTTGGCTTGGTCTTTTGAGGCAGGCTTTCTCTGTGTAACAGTCCTGGCTCTCCTGGAACTCACTTTGTAGACCAGGCTGGCCTGGAACTCACAGAGATCCACCTGCCTCTGCCTCCCTAGTGCTGGGATTAAAGGCATGCACAATGCCTATTGTGACTTTTTTTTAGATGGCCATCAAATTTGAATTTCCATGTCTACTTGTTAAGTAGTTGGATTGCTCTTTTCAGGGTCTTTATATAGTTTTCAGTTTGGTAATTTCTTATTTTATCATTGTCAAGAGCTCTTTGCATGTTTTACATGTAAACAATACATTTTTTTCAATCTATTTTTCCAAATATACTTGCCTTTAGATATTGTGATAGTTTATTTAGCCCTGTAAAGTTCTTGATTTCTGTGTACTTAATCTCTTTTCTGTTGTGGTTTCTGGGTCTTTAGTCCTTGATAATACTTATATTTGACAAAGAAGCCAGGCTCAGGCCTGTAATCCCAGTACTAGGAGGCTGAAGCAGGAGAATCATGAATTCAAGGCCAGGCTGGATTACACAGGAGTCTGACTCCAAAAGAAGGAGCATGATTTACTTTATAGCATGTTCCCCCATCTCATGCTGCACTGCACCCCAGCAGCATGGTATCCCAGAATGCTTTCTTGTCCTCCTCTCTTCCCTACTCACTCTTTCTTGGTGGTAATCTCTGTACCTCTTTTACTTTGCTTCATCACTTAAGGTCGGGTGACTTTGTGTTTGATTGAAGTCCTTCCTTCCCTGTGTTGTCACTCTGCTCTATGGCTGTAAGTGTTGCGATGAAAATTGTATTGCTGGTCAGTTTCCTTCTTACTAGGTCATTAACTTGTTTTTTACAGCTTAATGCCTAAGAACCCACCACTACCACCACCTTTTCTGTGAACTGTGAGCATTTATCTGGATATGCAGAATTGGGTCTTTTCTCATGGATCCCACCAGGGAATTACTCAGCCTTTCTTAGCTGCTGATTCATCTTTCATCCTTCCAAAACAGGTCCTTTTTATCATATGAAGCTTCTGGTGTGTCATGGCAGGCAGTCTAGGTCTGTCTGCCTCTTTCTTTTCCTTTGTCAGGCCTACATCTCTGTATTATTCATTCAGAGTCTCATTCAGTCTCTCTCTCCCTCTCTCCCCTTCACCTCCTCCTCCCCTTTTCCCTCTTCCTCTTGCCACAAAACACACCTCTTAAGGAAATCCAAATGCTGATACATACACTTATGATACCACATCTGACTTTATTTCAGCTTTAGTTGGTTTTTTTTTTTGTTTTTTGTTTTTTGTTTAATTGGAATACCAAGAGGTTGCAAAGGCTGCACTTAAACCAGATGAAGATATAGACTATGTCATGTGTACATACGTTAGTTGTTCTGGACAGTTGAAATCACCATGCTGGACTTAAGAAATAATGAGACTGATGCCTTAGTAAAGTTGTCTTGCATCACCATGCATATGATTGAAAATATTATTACCTGTGTAATGTATAAATGCTTCATAAAGATTTGCATTTATACTTCCTAAAGGAAGAATATATAATTGACTGGAAAATAATTTATGGTTGAAATTCTTAGAGAATCCCTCATTTTACTCAGTGTACTACAAAATATTGACTTTTCAGTAACACTGGCAGTTGTCAAAATGGACATAATTGTGGTGCTTTTGCTTCTGTATACAGTTACAGTGGAAGAAAAAAAAACACATCTTCCTAACTTAAGGAATGATTTTCCTTTAAAAAAGATTTTACACATGATTTTATCTTAGGGCCCAGGATCATTTCTTAGATTGGTCATTGTTTTCCTGGCCAATAATTGTATTTGCTCCCAGTAGTCAAGAGATCCAAGACAGGAATTGTGAGTTTGAACCAGCTTGGCTACCCTGTCTAAAAATAAATAAATAAATAAAGGATTAGTGATTATATACAGAAAATAGTTATTAGCCAGGCAATTTACAAACAAAGCAAATGGATTTCTTTTGCACACCTGGGGTTTAAAAGCTGTTCCTTGAGGGTTATAGGCTTTAACACTAATCTTTGTTAATGTTCTGGAATATTCCCCAGGAAATGAATGTTCCATAGAACAGATGGAACATGTCCGGGGAATGCAGGAGAAATTAGCTCGCTTGAATTTGGAACTCTACGGAGAGTTAGAGGAACTTCCTGAGGATAAGCGGAAAGCGGCCAGCGACGCCAACCTGGACAGGCTTCTGTCTGATGTGAGTGAAGTTCTGGTTTCTAAAAAACATCTTCTTGCAGCAACACACACACACATAACACAATTTGAATTTAGCTATCAGTGATTTTATATAGATATAATCATATATACTATATATATGTGATATATAGGAAAAAGGATATATATATATATATATATATATATATATATATATATACACATACATATATATACTCGTAGTGTTTTGAAGTCATCACCACCATCTAATTCTAGAACATTTTCTTTACCCCCTAAAGAAGTCTGTTCTCCCCATGCTCTAGCAACCCCTCATGTACTTTCTGTCTTGATGAACTGGCCTCTAGTGCAGTGTCCTCAAATTCTGTCTCTGTTACACTTGACTCTCTTTAAAGAAATATAGTCTAAAAAATGCTTAAACTTAGATTTATGGAAGCAAACTTGTAAAGGAAATACTTGATTCTGTCCATTTTTACATATGTGCCTGTGTTATACAGAGACCTTATCCATATGCAGATCAAAAGCCCTTTGCCTGCCTGGATGGCTTCTTAATTTTAAATACAGTTCACTGTTGGTTTTTACAGCCATTAGAACATTACTGCATCTGTCAGTCTAGAGCTGCCATAACAAAGCACCCCAGACTGGATTTAAACACTGGGAATTTTTTCTCACATTCTGGGTGCTGGAAGTCAGAGAACAAAGTGCTTCCTAAAGCTTCAGTTCTCCATTGTGGGTGGTCATCTCAGTGCTCATATAAGTCTTCTCCTGTCCACATTGGTCCAGATTCCCTTCCTTGTTACAGTCAGATTGGATTAGGGCCCACTCTGTTGGCCCCAGTTTGACTGGATCACCTTTTAAAGCTTGTCTCCCAATACCCACATACTGACATCTGACAGTTAGAATGTATGAGTTGGGGATGGAGTGGGGCACCACTCAGCCCATAACGTCTTGTAAATTTGCCTCTTTAAAACCTTTTTTAGGGAGCTGAAAAGCTGACTCAGCGACTAAAAGTACTTGCTGCTCTTGCAGAGGACCCAGATTCTGTTCCCAGCACCCACATGGCGGCCCTCAACCGTCTGTAGCTCCAGTTCCGGGGATCTGAAGCCCTCTTCTGGCCTGAGGGCACCAGGCACACAAGTGGTGCACATGCTTACATGTGGGCAAAACACCCATACCGAAAGCATAAAATAAAAATAAACAAAATTTTAAAACTACCTTTAGCAAGCTAGGGAGATGGCTCACTCAGGAAAGTTCTTGCTATACCAACATGAGAGTCTGAGTTCAGATCCCCAGCACCTGTGTACAAAGCACCTACAGTTCCAGCGCTGGTGAGGTGGAGATGAGAAGATCTGGGGCTTACTGGCCACCCATTCTTTCTGAATTTGTGAGCTCCAGGTTTGGTGAGAGACCCTGTCTCAAAAAAAAAAAAAAAAAAAAAAAAAAAAAAAAAAAGGTGGAGAATAGTTGAGGAAGACACAAAACATTGACCTCTGGCTTCCATATGTGCAGATGCAAATGTGTGTGTGCATACACAAGGAACTTAGAATACACAAAATCTTTTCAGAACAAAGGAAAATAAAGAAAAACAGACTTCAACTACTATTTTAGCTTCATGTTCACCAGTGACAAAAGTGCTTTTCTTCCACTCTTTTTTTTTTTTTTTTTAAATGAGTAAATATGAGGAAACTGTCAAGACAGGGTTTCTCTATGTAGCTCAGGCAGTCTTGCAACTCATTCTGTAGACCAGGCTGGCCTCAAACTCAGAGAGCCTCTGAGTACTCTCTGCCTCCTGAGTGCTGGGATTAAAGGCCTGGGCCCCCACTTTCTGGTGTCTACCCATACATTTAAAGCTTTAAACCTAGAAGATTAGCAGTGCATGCTTGTAATCCCAGCACTTGGGAAGTAGATGCAAGAGGAACAGGAGTTCAAAGTCAGCCTCACCTACATGAGACCTCTCTCAAAAACAAACAATCCCTTCAAGCCTGTACTTTTAAACATCAAATCTGACATATAGTATTCAGAGTCACAAGTATTTCAGTTCATGTCTTATGCTTTATCTTTATTAAATATAAGCTTAATTTGTGTACTTTTAGTGCATTTAGGAAAGCACTGCATTTTGACAAAAGATCAGTAAAGTTGAAACCAGGAGGCATAGTGCAATGCTTGCATCAGTGTTGTTCTTGGTAACAGTGAACAGTCTGGTTAACCTTCCTTTTTTAAACTGTTTGGAGATGCTGGAGATTAAGCCTGGGGCCTCATGGGTGCAAGACAAGCATTCCATCACTAACACTACAGCCTCAGATGACATCTCTATACCTTATGTTTCTTCTAAAATTAGAGTGTGGTCTGAATGTCTGTATCCTTCTAGAACTTGTACTTTCAAGTCCTTACCCAGAAGGTGTTGCAACAAGAGTCAGGCCTTTGGAAGGAAGGTAATTAGGTCAAGAGTGAGGAGATTGGTGTCCTAGGAAAAGAGGGTGAAGAGAGATACCCCACTGTTTCCTTTGTGACATAGGACATAGTATAAGGTGCTGTCCTGTTAGCCAGACATGGAGTCTATTGGCTTCTTGGTCTCTACAGGCATGAGAAATGGGTTTCTTTTTTCTACAAACCACTAATTCAATGATGTTTTGTTAGAGGAGCCCCCAAAAGACCAAGACAAGGATGATAAATTCTACTTTATAGTTAGAATTGAATGATTTGTGAAGTATTTTTGTAAATAATAAAAGTTTTAAAGATTATGATCACAGCAATGGCAATTTAAAACAAAACTTTAAAAGCTAGGCATGGGACCGCCAAGATGGCTCAGGAGGTAAAGGTGCTTGCAGTGCAAGCCTAGTGAAATTCAGACCTGAGTTCAATTCTTAGAGTTCGTGTAAGAGCAGACTCCACTCAAATGTGTGCTGCTTTCACACACAATAATGGTAAAATTATTTACCTGTGATCCTAGCATTCTGGAAGCTGGACCAAGAGAATCACGAGTTACCGCTATCCTGGGCTACATAGAGTTTGAGACAGGCCAGACTGGAAACTCTCCTTTTCTTTTCTTTTGTTTTCTTTTGTTTTCTTTTCTTTCCTTTCCTATCCTTTCCTTTTCCTTTTCCTTTTCCTTTTCCTTTTCCTTTTTCTTTTCCTTTCTTTTCTTCCCCCCCCTCTCTCTCCTTTTCTTTTTTGTTTTGTTTTGTTTTAAACAAGGTTTCTCTGTGTAGCCCTGGCTGGCCTCAAACTCAGAGATCCACCTGCCTCTGCTGAGATTAAAGGCATGTGCCATCACCACCCAGAAAGACTCTCTTTCAAAAAGAAATAGCAAACACAATAGAGATTACTGCCATTATACATGATTCTAAGATTACTTCCAAAGCTCAAGTCTTTAGCATTTGCTTCTATTGTCTCTTCAGGGTCTTTCATTCAAGCTGTAGCCACTTTATAGTTATTTTGTGAAAAGGAATTTCCCCAGCCTAGAAAACTTTTTGAGAGTTTTTTTTTTAATAGTTTGTTGTTTCAGTTAAAGAAAACCTACATGAAGCTATTTTAAAACATGGTTTACAGTGACGACTAATATTTTATCTTGTAACAATTAATATTCAATTTGTTTTTTTTTTGTGTTGCAGTTAGAAGAATTGAATTCTTCTATGTATCCTTTGCCTACTATCAACAATGTAAAGTTCCTAATCTATAGTTCTGGGTAAATAATTCCTACCATATTTTATTTTATTTACTAGGTCTGTGCCACTTCCCTTTTAGTTTCTAAATCAAATTGTTTCATGGTTCGAATGCTGAAATTCTATGTCTGGCTTGTTCTTTGTTTTATTTTTTTTTATTCTTTCAAAACAAAATTATTACTTTTCAAGTCATGAAAATTGTGCATTGGACTCTTAAGAATTATTTTGACTCTTAGATTCTGAAACTACTTGGGAGATATCCAAAGATATACTTAATAGTATTATTTAAGATACACAAAATTGGAGTTCAAGTACCACTAAAACACAGCTTTCAAGAAGTCCTTCCACAGCTTATGAAGTGGCATTTCCATGCCAAGCTAATGCAGTATAGACTTAACTTGAAGGAAAACACCAAGTCACAGGTAGGTTATTTTGATTTTGATATTTCAGTCTGAAACAATGACCTAAGGAACTTTTCAAACTTTTTTTTAAATATATTTGTCAACACAATTGCTAATACACAAGAATAATTATGAAACAACCCTGCCTTCAATCTGCTTTCATATGAGAAGGAAACTCTCTCTTTGAACACGATAATGGCATGAATTAGGACTTTTGAAATGTGGTTCACACTTCAATCATGTGACATTTCACACATTCTTTTAACATCTTTAAGGGGCTTTGGATAATGGTATGTATGGGGAAATTTATAAACTATATAGAATATACAGAAGTTAGAATAGCAAGTCTGAATCCTGCTGTAAAATTTTATACTGTCACTGATTGCTCAATTGTGCAGTAACAAGTCTGCTTTTGCTTTGAGTTGCTAACTAGGTGTTGGCTTGTACCACATCTGCTCCTATCCTCACTTCCTTCTCTGTATGGTACTGCAGGTGCTTAGAACCTGATTCTACAATATTTTTTTCTCTTGAATTCTTGTTTTGTTTTTCACTCAAGATCACCTTCTACACCCCAGGCTGGCCTAGCACTCACTGTGTGTCCTAGTCTGGCTTTGAACTTGTAGCAATCCTACTGCCTCACTCCCTCTAGTCCTGGCTTTATACATTGGCTTCTGTCAACTCTTTTTTATTTTTATTTTTTACCATTGTCAACTTTTTAAAGGCTTTTTCCAGGTGATCACAACATAGATCTCATGTTAGAGCTCTTGTTCCCACTAGGCTGTGTTCTTTGATGTTTGGGAGCACATCCTGTTCATTCTTGCCATGATATCTTTTGTTCAGCTTGCACTCTGATGCAAATACACCCCAGCCTTCTTTCCCCTCCTCTCCATCAGACAGGTGTCATTCATGCCGACCACTCCCATCAAATGTTTGGTTTGTACCTGTAAACTAACATTCTGCCTTACTTTACTGTCTGATGATTTTTCTGTGTGTTCAAATCTCAAACTTCCCAACTAGATGAGAGAACTTTAGATGGCCTTGCCTTTTTCCATCTGCTTTTGCAACTTCTGCCATATGTGTACTGGTGACTCATAGTCGTCCTCCGTGTATTCAGATCACTGTTTGAATTGGACCTTGAAAGGTAGGCAACAGCTAAACAGTTTAGGATTAAGAGGAAAATGAAAGATAGTCAGGAGAAGGGATAAGGACACATGCAGAAATTGTTGTATTCACAGTTTTCTTGAAGGATGAGTAAGATTATATAAAAGATTACAGAGTTGTGATAATTACTTTATGTGTGGCTTTATAAGGAAATTGTTGCCCCAAACATGGTAAAATGGTATCTTTAAGGGATTGTCTTAATCCAGTTAATCTTTTAATGTTTCACTTTCACTGGTTCCTTGTCATGAAAATGACTCATGCTGCCTTAAAAATAAGCCTGTACAGACATGATATGCTACACTCCTATAACTCCAGCACTGGAGGTTGATGCAGGAGGATCTGGAATTTTGAGACTGCGTAACTAGATCCTAAATAAATGTTTTTAAGCTTCAAAGTATACACATCCATTATTCTACATTGAGCTACTGTCCAAACTTGTTGGCAACACTACAGCTTTCCCTTTAAGCCTCCCCTGCTCTCCCTCCTTCCTTTATTCCATTTCTTCTGTTTCCTGGTTACTAAGTGTAAATTCCTGAAGTGTAAAAGAAGTCCTCACTTAAAAAAAAAAATCTTCTTAACTGATGAATTCAGACAGAAACTGCATTTGGCAGATGCACAGGATGTCCCCAACACTTCTACCAGCTAGAGCAGTGTGCAGCCTGCTCTAGGGGTTTGCAGAGAAGCAGCAGTCATTACTTTTCCAGCTGAGTCCAGTAGCAGAATCATCTTCCACAACAAAACTCAATGAAAGCGCCAGTGCAGTGATTGTGTTCCCACGTCGCTTCTAGTCAATGTGCTTGCTGTAATTCACTGCTGGGGAGGCTGTGGCCTGGCTGTGGGTCAGATCAGGAAGAGGGATGCTGAGCTATGCTGCTGTGTTTTCTTCTGTTGCCTTAAGGGTTATACTTGAAATGCATTGTGCTAAACGTTCAGTAGGGCTGAAGGGTTTGTCCTTCCTGCGATCACCATACTGACTCAGTTCTGGTCACGTGTTGGTGGCGCACAGGCCTCCTGTGGCAGCCCAGCTTCAGTTTACGTCAGACAATCAGTACACACACAGGTGTGTTCCCCAATGGCCAGTGACAAATGTTTAATAAGTATTAATAATAATGTTTGCTATTTTTAATAAAGTGATTGTTTTAAATGATCGTCTCTGTTGTCTGTTGTCTGGAAGACCCAGTAGTCTTCAATCTGGAAACAAGGGTCCAGTCCTCCAAAGTAAATTGCATGTATAATGTGAGGATTTTGTGCCATCTCTGCGAATTCTGCACCTTTTGCACATTTAACTATTGTTTAATGGAAGTACATGGCTTTAAAGCTAGAGCTGGGTGTGGCTTCCCATTTTTCCCCTTAGCTTTGTGATGTGAATTTACTTGGGTTGACTTCAACTTTCATTTTCAGTGTAGCCTGTGAGCAATTGCCAGCTGGTAGTTGTTATGATAAATCTTTCCGCCAAAAGCCTCCTGAGCCCCACTGCCACGTGTGCACTTTATGCCAGTCGCCCACCTGAGTTAGGGCCCAAATGAATACACAGAGAGACTTGTATTAGGTTCAAAGCTTCTTGGCCAATGACTAGGATTCTCATCTGTTAGCTCAGTCTTAACTATCATAAACCTATATATTTTATAAGACTTATCAGACGCCTTATTGGCATCCCTCCTTGCCAATGGATCACATTGTGCTGCTGGAGCAGGAGCGGAGGGGAAAAGAGGGATGCTTCCTGTTTCTCCTTCTTTAAATATGAGTCTTCTTGCTATGTCACTTCCTGCCTGGATCACCATTTATCTACTACATTTCCCAGAATCCTCTTTGACTCCTTGTCCCGTCTAACTTGCTGTCTCATAGGCCAAACAGTATTTTATTCAACAATCAATAAGATAAACATACACAGTACATTCCCCATCATCTCCTCTTTTCTGTCTAAATAAAAAGGGTAACTTATCTTTTATAATAACTGAAGAAAACTATAACCATAACTATCTGTCTTCAACTCTATCAAAGACCACAGAACGATAATATATAAACTCTACAATTAACAGGACATCTTGCTACCTGGACAGTCACCCAAAGTTCCTCTGTAACGTTGGGGCATCCATCTTCAGCCTATAGGCCACAGTGTGGCTGGCACACTTCTCCATTTCAACAGGAACCCTTCAGTACTGTCTTGTTTTGTAAGTTCAGCAGTCATTTTCTTGTGGGTCCTGTATGTCCAGCTTATACTGTAACAGTCCAGGCAAGAGCAGTTTCTTACCCAAATGGCTAATCTTGCCATGTTGAAAGCAAACTTCCATAACAAGTTTCTTTGATGCCCATCCTCCTTTCTGACGTAATTGGTGTGCCAGGAGCAGTTGTGTCTCACTGCCAAGAAAAACCCTAAACCATTTAAATGCCATATTTCTGTAG